AGGTGTGAAAAGACCTTTACGATCAAGACCATCACATCTAACCGGTACCCCAGCACTGCCAAGTCCACTGCTAAGCCATGTCCCAAAGCACCACATCTGCACATCACTTAAACGCCTCCAGGGATGCTGGCCCCACCACTTCCCAGGGCAGTCTGTTCCAGTGCTTGACAATCCTTTCTGTGAAGAATTTATTTCTTATATCCTATCAAGCCTGTCCTGTGGGAGGTTGAGGCTGTTCCCTCTTACTGCTTGCTCCTTGGGAGATGAGGCCAAAGCCCACCTGGATACAGCCTCCTTTCAGGTGGTTGTAGAAATCGGTAAGATCTCTTGTGAACCTCCTTTTCTCCAGGCTTAACACTCCCAGCTCCTCATAGACTTGTGCTCTAGACCCTTCAACAGCTTTGCTGCCCTGCTATGGATACTGTTTCTCTGCTCCTCCTTTTTTAATTGATTTTTCCTCCTTTTTTTCCCCCCATCCCTCTCCCTGCCAAGCCTTTTAGCACAGCAGACTGTGCCCAGCAGCCAAGAGGCAGCAGGGGCTCGGCCACCCAGAGTGGTACAAAGGCTCCAGCAGCAACACAGCTCCTTTTCCCTTGGAGCTCCATGTGTTGGAGAGGGAATCAGTGGAAATGGGTTTTTTTGTACTCCAAAAAGTTGGTTGTTTTGCAATCATATGCAAATGCTTTGGGTCTAGCAGATGGCAATGAGTGCTTTCCTTCCATGTTTTACTCTGGAGCTCAGTACCAAGGTAGAATTTGCAATAAGCTCAGTAGCTACTGACTAGTGGTTGCTAGGACAGGTTAAATTTGTGTTCCAGGAGAGCTTTACATCACATGTCCACTTGCTGCTGTTCCCTTCCCTGAATGGGCTTGAGACCCTCCCTTCCCTTAAAATTCCAATGAAGTGCCAGGTTTGGTTCATCAAATGTGTAAAATCATTTCCCAACTAAAGAACTCCATATAACCCTACACCAAAGCCTCTACACATGCACTCCTTCCACTTTTGTATTATATGCAAAATTCCTGTTGTACATTATATGCAAAAAAAAAGTTAATCTTATCTCCAGATTTAAAAATATACTGAAGAAATCTGACAGACCAAAAGAAAACAAAAGCACATCAGCAAAACTGGCAAGTATTTCACACTGTAAAATATTTACACTGTAAATTTTATCAAGTTATTTTATCAAGCAACAAATTTGACCTACAGGTCTTCATTTTCTTTTCTGTTATTCTTTTAATTTTAGTACTTCCCTTTTTTGTACTTCATAACTGGTGTTTTCTTTTGCTTGCACTGATTTGCAAGTGGATTCAGTTGGCCAGCAATGGCAGGGAATGCTAATTCCATTTAGTTACCGGAAAAAAGCAATAAAAAAAATATGTTTCCCTAAGGCCTCAATCCACAGTGATGAAAAATCCAGATCAACAAACATATTTTTGTTAAAATCAGTCTTATGTGTCCTGTCTTTTCCCACAGAAAAATAAAAATAGGAAAACAGTCCACTAGGCAAACTGAAATACAAATGATAGACCCTTCCTAGCTCCAGTAGTTTTATCCCAAATATATTCCCAAGCTGGGGGACAGTGTGTACCCCAGAACTGGGCAAGCCCTAATCACATTTCAGATGTGCCACACACAGCCATGGCTGAGATTATTTAAAGTTATGGGGTCAGTGACAGCAGCAGCTGCTGCCCTGACCTCAAGGGAATCACAGTCCTGGGTTAACACAAACTCTTGTCCCTCCATTTCTCGCTGGGGCTTACTGGGGTATGGGTGGTTCTTGGAGCTGCTGCCAAGGGCTCCCAGTGCTGGGCTGGCCACTGGCAGGACTGGGCTGCATGGCCAGAGGGAAATGCAGCACAGGAAAAGATTAAATAACTGCTCCTCTTAGAGATTACTCTACTTATTTTCCCTGCCTTTAGAAAGGAACAGCTGCTACTCAGGTTTGCCAGCACCCAGAACTCAAAAACTGTGAGAGACTCAGAAATAGGATGATTGTCTGTAAAACAGTCTGATGTCGAGGGGAAGGGAAAAAAAAAAGCCTCTTTTCATTTAGCCTGTGATTGCTAAGTCTGCAGAGATCCTTTTTTTTCAAGCTTTTTCCTTGGTCCTTGAGGAGCAGAGATCCACTCTTTTTTTTCTCCCCTTTTTTAAATGAATGCTGGGATTCTAACATAATCAACTAATTCCAGGAGCTGAGGCTTCAAGATAAAAAGAAAAGTATACCATGTCACAAAGCTCACAATGCAATCTCATTGCATTGGCTTTGGCAGCCGTTCACTTGGCTCTGGAAATAATAAAGTGGGAGACTGAAATGACAAACAAACTGGAGATCCAAACCCAAGTACCACCAGGGAATGCTAAGCAGATGGCTAGCAAAAAGACCAGCCCAAGGAATTGCTCCAGTCTTTGCAGGAGGATTACTGACAGCATCCACCATGGTGGCCTCCTTCCTATGAGCTCGCCTGGCATAGTTTGCATCTTGATGTCCTTGTAAAGAATTAAGAGGAATAAACAAGCTAGAAAGACCTCTCAAATGCAAATCATTTGTGCACACTCTCATAGCAAACAGGGACATCCAAGGGCGTTGGAGAAACCATGGAAGGGTCAGAACCAACGCTACATTTCTGTGGCATTTTGGGCCTACCTTGTTTGAATTGTTTATTGAGCTATCACCAAGATATCAGGGGTGTGCTTTCAGCATGCTGCTATTGAAATGTCTGCTTTGTTTCAGTATGCCATAATATTTTGTCAAGAGAATTTATTTAAAAGAAGTTGCAAAATTATATCTGTGCTAAACTGGAGCTGGCACAATGGAAAATTTTGGGGATGCCCCATAAGTATGCAAGCACAAGCATATGAAATCTCATGTAGGATTTCATCTTCAGTAAGAGAAAAAAAATCCCTAAATTATATTGACTTTTGTCATATCCAATTTGCTTAGCAGAGAAAACATGAACATCAATTGTGGCCATTTGAACCAAGACGTAGCAAAACACCTTGCAGAGCTCTATCAAGATCCTTTCTGCTTATCCTCATCAATACATTGGTTTACTGGAGAAGAAAACAGTTATTGTGGAACAGGTTTCAGACTGCCAGCCCCAGCAGATTCTCTGTGCTGCCAACCAAGTAGGATTTGTTTTTAGTCTATGTCCATCCCCAGCACTTAGCCAAGCTGACCTGTCCTCTTGTGCTTCTCAGCTTTCTTCAATTTTCACTCTTCTTACCAGTCTAAAAATGCAATGTTTAACACTGACTAAACCCGACATGCTCTCCTCACAGGGAATCAGGATTTTGAACTTTGGACTCAACAGGAAAAGTTTTTCAACAAGCACCTGGAGCTAAATCCTACCCACCATATTTGTGGGTGTTGCCCCATTGCCTGGCAGTTTGAAATAAGCAGGATTTCATCATTTGGGGATGACAGTGAATTCCAGCCCCTGGTGCAGGAATGCAGCACTCCCATCCTGCTGTCCCAGCCCGTCTGCTCACAGGCTGGTGCCTCACTGGAGCACAGCCAGGCAGCCACAGAAATGCACTGAGTGAATAAGGTCTTCCTTCCCTATCAGCTAATAAAGATAATTACAAAGGCCACCATATATTCATTTGGGTTCAGTCCTTTTCCCACTCAAATTAATGTAGGTTTTGCCATTGATGCTGATTTTAGGAAAAGCTGGCCCAACATCAGGAGCTAAAATTAGGCTGTTTCTGCCATCTTCCCCATAGCAGCCAAGGGAGCTACTGGCCTAGCCAGGAGTCAGCACTAAGTCAAGGAACAGCCAGCTATCCTGGGAATGACTCTGCTGGGCTCCAGTGCCTGCTGCAGGAGGCAGTGGGACCCAGCATGGTCCAGGTGCCACCTCCACCCCACAGCAGAGTGGGGTCACAGCCGGGCCCCGGCCGTGCTCACCCCTCTGGAGCTCATTTGCCAAAACCAGCACTAAATGAGGGCAGAGAAGGAGACACACGGAGAAAATCCTTTTCCCCTGGGGGCTCGAAGTCAGGGATGGCAGCTCTCCTGGGGATGCCCACACATGCTGGCACCTGTGTGTGACACACAGCGCTGTCCTCAGACCCTCCCTGCGCGGGGCTGTCGGATTTTCATCCCCTCCCCACAACACCAAAGCTGCTTGTTTGCAATATTGGCAATGCCACTCGAAAAAGTCAGGGGAAATCCATCACAGCCCGGGAGGTTATTCTGGTGTAACGAGCAGCCCTTGTACCTCATTTTTCAGCAGTGCAACTCAGGTCTCACAACTCCATTTCTGTGCTGCACAGAGGCAGGGGCTCAAAGCAAAGCTTGGGGGGCTTTTCTCCAGCCCGCAGCTCAAGATCTCTACTCGTAGGTGCAGGTGTGGATATGCACATGTAAATATAATAAACATACAGTTATCCTCCATAGCTTTCCTCTGAAAAGCAGTATTTTACCTTTGGCCAGTTGTCTACCCACAATATGCCTGAGCATAGAGACACACAGACATTTAGCAGCAAGGCTGAAAAAATGAAAACCCTCCTCAGCCACACTCGCATGGAGCACACGCAGCACCCTGATTCGCACACACCTTGGAAATACAAACAGCTCCTCTCTTCTCAAATTCTGCTGCTACAATAACTTTGCAGACAACTTTGCTTACTGGACTTGTTTCGTGGTGGGAGTAACTACCAGCAATAGCTCGCCTGCTCCTCAGAGCAGTCACATGCTGGGATTGCTCATATGCCATTCAGATTCCCTAACAGCTGAGAGAGAAAAAGGGAGGGGAAAAAAGGCAACTATTCCTAACAGAGCCACATTCCCCTGTTGCCTCTGCCTCGGCTGCAAATGCTGTTAACACTGATTTCTAACTGGTCAATCCCCACCCTGTTTCTATAAACACAGAACAAAACTGTTTATAATTCTAAACTCCCTGCCAAGGCAAGCTTCACACAGGAGGAAATAAGAAAAAAAAAAAAAGAAAAAAAGGAAGGAATGGCAGATTAAACAGATCAGCTCTGATTCTTACCTTCAGAAGCAGACTTTGTTCAAAGCCCACAAATACTTTTACTTTGCTGTAAGTCTGAGCTATTTTTAGGTTCCCTCTGGGATGCCATATAGGGAGAGCAGCCCCCTCCCTATCATTACTAATCTGCTGAACATAACAGCAGGACACCTGCTGCTGGTGAGTCATGTTCTGTGTGGAGCTAATGGTATATATATAGGCAAAACATAAAGACAATTGCTTATTTCCCTACCTACCCCGTGTGTTGTTTGTTGCTCTAAGCAAATCAAATCATTGCAATGAAGACACTGTAAGGAAGACAAATACACGAGAAAATTCATGTTCAGCTTCAGACCAGAAGCTCTACAAGTGCACAGCAGAATGATGCTTGTTTGTGTTTGTGGTGTGTATACCTGTGTGTGTACATGTCTGTGCACTTTTGCACATGCACTGAGTGATTGTGCTTTTAGAAGCTCCTGCTCTGGTACATGCAAACCACTGTTTTCACTGAACTCAGGACTGGAATTCAATTATTCATCAAAAGCTCCATCCCAACCTGTCTTTCCTTACTCACAGCAAGAGAGAATGAGCATGGAAAAGGGGCACGTGTAGGGAAAACTCAGGTGTCTGACCTGCCAGCATGGAGAAACCTACCACTTGTTCCATATAGAAGCTCTCAGATAGGAGGCAGAAGTAGCTTTGTGGCTGCAGAGTGGCTGTTAAACATTAGCTCTGTTCCCCTTAGTTGGCTTCACAGCCTTTACTTGCAGTGACAAACAGATCTGCAGGACAGCCCCTGCTCTGTGCTGGGAGCCTGATTTAGCTCTGGCCCTCAAGCCATGCATTTCACTGTTATGGGCTTCACTTCTAAACTTTTGAGAGCTGCAATAAAGTGCTGCTAGGTTTGGCTTTGTGATCTCTGGAAGATCTCTCTTTTATTTCTTCCTCCCCTCTCTCTGTCCTGCATTATTATTTTCAAAATGTGAACTTTTTCTTGTTCCTGTCTTTGGAGAAAGCACTGGCCTAATCTCCTGCCTTGGGCAATACTTCCCTTTTGTGGATATACACCATTCCTAACCTCAACTCACCCTACTGTCCTTAAGTTTTACAGCAGTCTTATTAAAGACAATACTGAAATGTCCACTGATCAGTGGAAATAGGGTGGACACTTATAGAAAGTGTTGCAATACCTCAAAATAACTTGAATAACTTGAATAAGTCACAGCCAGAATCAGCATGAAGCATTGCAAACCATACCCTGACTGATACAACCACATAAACTTGTATTTTCCCTCCCAAATTATCCAATGAAAAATTTCTGTAGGTTTGTAAAACATACTACAGGAGAATGGTTTTAAAATACATATAGAGAAGATATCTCTGTTCCCAGAGAAGTGTGTATATTTTTAAACATATTTCTTCAGGACCTTGCTTCCCCCTGCCCCATCTCCTTCTCCTGCTGAACTGGGTGAGGGATGGTAGAAACTAAAAAACTCTCCCAGCCTGCCAAGTTGCCATTCTCCAAGAGGGGCTGGACTAGGCAGCAACAAATGGCCAAATTTTACTTCTTTGAGCAGTGTAGGAACATATGCTGCATAAAATCCCTCAAAAGATGAATGAAGATACTAAAACATTGCATTTATATACGTTTTAGGCTCTCTAAATAGACTTCAGATATATCTTTCAAGCTCAGTAATTTAAAATAACCTCTGGCAGACCAACATCTTACTACTTAAAAACGACCATCAATCAAATCCTGAATGTTTGGGGAAAGACAACGTGCCCCAAATACCAACCCTGAGTCCTGTCCACCAAATAAAGGCATGAAGAAAACAAGGCACAGGTTTTTTCCTTTCTGTATCTAGCTGCTTCTCCGGGTTCTGCTGTAGCAGAAGCAGCAGATCTCGGGCAGCAGACCCTGCAGCATTCCCATTTTCCTCAGGGCTGTGTCCATGACCCAGGGGCTCTGTGATCCTCTATCCTCCCCTAGTGCCCAGAGCAGGCTGAGGGTATGGAACCAGCTGAACTCAGCAGAGCTGCTGCATCCCAGCACCAGCAGCTGAGCTGGCTCTGTGCTTCTGGCTCTGCCCTCTCTGGTGCCAAAAACCGACCAGATCCTCCCTTCTCACTTGTCTTCATCTCAGGAGGACAGAAGCAGCCAGCTGCAGTGGGGAGGGTGAGGGACTGAGCTCTCCCCTGCCATTTCTCCTACAACAGCCTGAGAGTGCCATCCACATATCAACTAACACAGCACCTTTATCTGTCTGCTAAACAGAAAAGCAGAAGCATAAGGGGGAAGAAAAAAAAATACCAAACCCCTCGGCATGTCTGCCTTGAATCCCAATTGGAAAAGAGTTGTTTGCCTTAATTCCAAATGTATTTAGAATGTGGAGCATATATTTCCAAAGGATGTTTTGTATTTACAGCGTGTCTGTCTGGTTATACTGCTGCAATGTAATTGTTTTCCTGCTGAGAATTATAGCAGGGAAGTTACTCTGGGTACAATTACAGCTCTTTATAGTTCTGCTTTGGAATTTAGAGGCTTCTGTGCACCACTCCCTCCTCCCTGCTCAGAGGCACTGGCCTTGGAGCACCTTGTGACACTGCCAGCGAGGTGACACGTGGATGCATTTGGGGTTTAGCTGCTAGAAATGGGTAAGTCACTGCAGGAATGGAACCAGGGGAAATCTGTAACAAATCCCTGATGCTGAGGCTGGAGCTGGGTCAATCTAAGACAAAACTTTTCTCAGTCTCAGCATGGGGAGGAGAAAAGGCAGCAATTCCTGCCTGGCAGGGATTTGGGAGCGAGAGCACAGCAGAATTTGTATCCAAAAGTTTGTTGGTTTGTTTGGGGGTTTTTTGGTTTGGGGTTTTTTGGGGGGTTTTGTTTTTTGGGGGGGGTTTGTTTTTTTGTTGTGTTTTCTTTTTTGTTTGTTTGGGGTTGGGGTTTTTTGGGTGTTTGTTTTGTTTTGGTTTTTTGGTTTGGTTTGGTTTTGGTTTTTTTGGGACGGATTAAAAGGAGTTATTTCAGGGTGAGTAGCAGCTGAAGAGCAGGGAGACATTCCCTCCTGAGAACAGGCACAGCACAAGGTCAGCTTTAATATCTGACACAGCAGCTTGCAGCTTGGGTAAGATACAGACACAGCTGGACCAAGCTGTGGTCAGTTCATTCGCTACTTTCTGATGGAAAATACTTCCTGACACATTTCATAACTGTAGCTCTTCCTTTTGCATCCAAAACTTTAAGGCTTGATGCTGGAATCAGGTTTGCACCCTCTTTTATCAAACCATTGCCTGTTGCTGCTGATCCTTCTGAGCAGAGAGCAGAGTCCCGGCCATGCTGGAGCCACCCAAGACAGCCTTGATATTAGTTCAGCACAGACCTGTGGATGGCAGCGGAGCAATTCCAGCACCTGAGGAGTCCTGGCAGGCCTCTGCAGGGCAGGGCAGAGCGCTCTGGGGCAGCCCTGTTGCTCCCCTGCCCAGATGGTGCAGCTGCAGGAACAAATGTCCTCCTTTGCGGAGCAGCGCCGTGTGTTCCGGAACAAAATGTCAATGAGCTTTCCAGATTAAAACATTAAAAATGTATGAACAACAACTGTCACACACCAGGAAGCTAATAACAGTGGGAGAGCTTTTCCTTTGGAGACTGGGGCAGGCTGTTTTAATATCACTGTGTTCATCCCCAGTTATAGTGTCAAGAAATTAAACATCAGGAACACTCATTAGATCTTCCTTTGACCTTATAACAGACCAGTGTGTTTTACTCAGCTATTTCTGATTGAACAGAACTGTAAGTCCCAAAAAAGTCAGCAGTGGAGAATAGCAGCAAGTCTTACTCTGGAGCCATCAAAAAGCAAAGAATTTTCTTATTTTGTTCTCTTGATTATGTGCTCTAATGACTAAAATCACTTCCCAATTAAAATAAAACAAACCCCAAAAAACTCTCACTAACCCCACACCTCATTTAATTATATGTTTCAGCTTTCAGAGATGGGCTCTTCTTTTATTTTTCTCTCCTTTTAGGACAGAGTTATTTTCTTCCCAGAATAGACTCATGCACCAAAAAAAAAATCACCTCAGACCATTTTTTGGTCTATGAAACTCTGAACCTTTCAGTCCTTCTACTGTAAAACATTTCATCATACCCTCAAATAATTTTAGCCTTTCTTTCCTACCCACTTTCCAACTTTTTCATATCCTTACAAAGTTTTGACTCAATATTTTGCTACTTGAGACCTGGCTTTAGCGGCGCTGCAATAAAAGTTAAAACCACCTCTTTTCCTCTTGTTCAGTGCTCCCCTGTTTATATATTTAAAGGCCACATAAATTCCCTCTGTCAGGCCATCGCAGCAGGATCGATGTGCAGAGGCTTCTTGGATCATGCTCCCTTCATCCCATGAGTGCTCCCCGTGCTCCAGCCTGCAGGGCTGTGCCCTTGCACAGACCAGCATGGGCCTGATGGGCTCTTCATCCCCTTTACCCAAAAGTTCACCTTCCCCAGTGCCAGCCTCCTTTCCTCTTCACTGCATACCATTCTCTACTTCTTAGTATTTTGCAAAAATTTTTCATTTTGTGTTTTGCTGTAGACCATTGATACAAACAGCAGAGAGCTTTGTTACTTAACCCTAATGTGCCCCAGGAGCCACAGGTCTGTTTAGTCCTGATTCCCCATCAACAGCCACTCCTTGAGCTCTGCCAGGCACTTCATTATCCATTTATTGCATATTCTAATGTTGCTGAATGGTGCTAATGTTTAATCAGCACGCCATTCACCGCCAAGTCAAACACCTCACAAAGTCTAAATGCACTAAATTTGCACGATCATTTTTGTCAACCAGACTCATAATATAATCAGAGAGTAAAAATTAGGTCTCTTTGATAAAGTTTGCCACAAAACCGTGTTGTTTGGACTACTTACTAATTTACTTTTGCATCAGCTTCTGAATTATTTAACACAAAATGATTGTGAACTAACCAGCCTTGAGTCTTTGGAAATGCTTCCTCATAACAACCTTCTCTTTGAAATCAATATAGACACATTT